GGTTTGGACTTTTTTGTGGAAGCTCGAGTCCATAAGTTTCTGTTATTAATGTGCTGCTTTGTCAGAACAGAGCCATGAGAAAGGTGATTCAAGAAGCGCACAATGTGCTTAATTCAATTTGTCCACCGCAGGGGCGACCGATGAAGATACAATCTGCTGCATTCTTCACCTCCTGACTTTCTTTCCATCATTGTCTATTGTTCTGCGTTTTTTTTAGGGAGCTGGGCTAAAATAATGGGAAACCTTGTTTCATGAAAAAGTGATGTGACAGAGTTCCTACTATCAATGAGCCGTTGAGCTCCACTATCCTCAGAACAATATTAACTGAGGAGAGTGATGACAATGTCTGAGACCTTGAATGTGGAATTTAACTAATTGAGCCAATGACGTACAATCAATTAAAAGTTCGTAAACCCTTCATCTGATATTTGAAGGCTGATATATGAAGGGCGTGAAAGACTACTGGGGAAAAAAAGGCTTTGAAGCCTCGGCAGCCATGGCAGCAGCGAGGGAGCGAGTCTTTGTCCTGGCAGGGGAGAGCAGTGTACAGAGGAAAGCTGTAATAAATCCTGCTTACACTGTTTCATTGTGCCCTGCACCGCTGCTGAGCCAGACGCTCCCACTGTGGCCTTTCAACATCGGAAGAAAAGATTTCTGCAGCCGCCTTCAGCTTTCATTAAATACGTGGTCAGATTTTACAACTTCCATCAATAGCTATGAAATAACTTTATCTGGACTGAAATTTATAAAACTTCTTTGTAAGAGCAGGACATGATCACAAACAGGATATTCATTCATAACTGCAGTCATTCATCTTCTTTATGTGTACAGACAGTTTATTACCAGAGGGCAGAGCTTTGTCGTGTTTCTCAGAGAAGCCCCCACAGTGGTGCTATTGACAGGAAGTCATTGTCCATTAATTCATCTTCCAGCTCCCCCAGCAAAAAAGAAAAGTTTTATTGTGTTCTTTTTTTAAAAAAGTAATACGCCAATGGCGCTGTTGTACTTGTGGTGCTTTGAGCTAAATGCTAATACAGTGCAGCATTTTACCTCCCGAACATTTGTCATTTGGCAACAGCTGGTGTTGATGGGATTATTACACTAACACTAAAAGGTGACACACGTTGCTATTCATCCTCTGGGGGACATGAACCCCCCCCTCCCAGTTTAAATGTTGTTACCCCCTGTTCCCCCCCACCTGAAAACACTCTGGATCCGCCCCTGCCCCTAAATCCGCTTTTTATTCATTATTAATGTTGAACTCTTGAGAGTGTTATCTAACACAGAATGCTTTTTAGACATTACTCTCAGTGATGTGAAATATAAATAAAAACCCTATAATGTTATTGTAATAGCAAATCAGGGTAGAGGCAAATTCCATGCCTGCTTTTAAAAACAGCTGCAGCTCTTTACATAGAACATGAATATGTCATGTATGAGTATAACACAGCGTCTTCTAGATAATCATACATACCTTCACCCAACAGTCCCCTTCAATTCAATCAAGCTGCACTAAATTACACAGAGACAGATATCAGTCCTCTGAATTTGTGAAAATGTAAAAAATCTCACAATGTTTAGGAAAGTATAAAATATAAGTTTCATGGTCCACTAGTTTTTATTTAATCCTGCCAGCTAATGAACCAACAAGCAAACAACCACAGCAGTGGGAACATAACTTACCTGGTGGAGGTAACAACTAAATGCAAATATGGAGATCACACAGCATCAGACAATTAGAGCACAAATACAAGAATGAAAAAATGTTACAGATGAGAGAAGAGAGAAAACCCAATAAAGTCAAACATAAAAAAAGGATTAGAGCAGAATTAACAGCTCAATTCAAATGTAAATAAATAGATAAAATAGGAAGTTAAAGATGAATTCAGACAAAAAACGTCTTGTGTAATGAAGAGTTTTAAAAACACATTAGCTATGAGATTAACTTGTTTAGAAATATACATAAATAAACTATAGAGTTATATGCTTTTAGTGTGTTTTAATACATTAACGGACTAAATACACATTAAAAGATACTGGAGAGTCTAGATAAAGAGCTACTTGAGTTGGCTACATAAAGTTAATGGAGATAAAAATCCATCAATCTCTTTCAGGAAGTTTTAAAGTGAATAAAATGCATCACAGCTGGACTGAGAGCCGACTCCCATCACATTAACTTGTGAGGACCTTGATCCCGTGTTCGCTCTTTGAAACGTGTGTCAGCACACAGACAGGGAGAGGCCAGATCATCAGGCCTGGGCATGGAGCATGACCACCTCACCACAGAGGAAGTGATGCAGTGTTACACAGGAGGTAAACAAGTAGTTAAACCACACACACACACTCCGTCATGCGTGGAATAAACACTCCAGACTGGAGCAAAGGGCGTGATTCATGCTCTCAACCACTTACATGCTGCGGCTGGTGTGGTTCCAGTGGTTATGGCATAACAGACTTTGTTGAAGAGGAAAACAAACAAAGAGAGGAGAATGAAAAATAGTGATTGGTCTTGAGTCTCCTCTTTAAAGCTGTTCTCATGAGCAGGGCGGACGAAGATCTTCAGAGCTGAAGACAAACAAGACGTAAATACTTCCCACTGTGGCCTCAGCGTTAGACCAGAAACAGATGTTTACCATGAATAACCCACCGAACACTTTGTACGAGGGATCTCAGTGTTTACATTATTGTTTTAACGGAGCTGCTCTTTCTGTAAGCAGCTTCAGCATCATCGATATGATTCACAGAAAGGTCCAGTGTGAAGGATGTAGGGCTTCTATTAACAGTGATGGGACAGCATACTCTTAATTACAAATTACAAATTACATGTTTTCATCTGCCAATTTTCATGAAATGTTGTTCCAAGGAAGCCCTCATTACATCTTGTTGTGGACCCATGGGTTTTCAATTTTTTTGTTCTTGTTTGTTTTCCAACCTTTCCCTTTATTTCTCATTCATTGATCTTGATGAAATCTGTTCTGGTGAATTTGAATGTGGTTTTATATGAGAACTGTTGGGCCTTATAGCAGAGTGATATGTTGATAATGATAATGATAATACTAAACGTTAACACATGTTAAAGTGTAAATCAAATAAGAAGAGAACAAATTTTAAGAAACATAAGCATATGATAAAATTATAGTTAAAATTAAATTAAATTAAAAAGTAAAATAAATATTAGCATAGAATCACCTGAAATTAAGGATCATTGTGTTTTCATTACCTTAGAATGAGAGTTTTCATTCTGTTGTATCATTATGTTTCTTCAGTACAGAGGACCCCCTTCCGTGTAAATATAAAGTATTTGAATATAAAGGACCTTTTCTGGGGTAAAGAAAACTACATTTATGCAATTTATATGAAACGAACTAGAGAAACAT